CACCACCCCTACACTACAGTATCACCACCCCTACAGTATCACCACCCCTACCCTACAGTATCATCCCCCTACCCTACAGTATCACCAACCCTACACTACAGTATCACCACCCCTACACTACAGTATCACCAACCCTACACTACAGTATCACCACCCCTACACTAAAGTATCACCACCCCTACAGTATCACCACCCCTACACTACAGTATCACCACCCCTACAGTATCACCACCCCTACACTACAGTATCACCACCCCTACAGTATCACCACCCCTACACTACAGTATCACCACCCCTACAGTATCACCACCCCTACACTATAGTATCACCACCCCTACAGTATCACCACCCCTACAGTATCACCACCCCTACAGTATCACCACCCCTACACTACAGTATCACCACCCCTACAGTATCACCACCCCTACACTACAGTATCACCACCCCTACACTACAGTATCACCACCCCTACACTACAGTATCACCACCCCTACACTACAGTATCACCACCCCTACACTACAGTATCACCACACCTACACTACAGTATCACCACACCTACACTACAGTATCACCACCCCTACAGTATCACCACCCCTACACTACAGTATCACCACCCCTACACTACAGTATTACCATCCCACCATCCCTACCATACAGTATCACCACCCCTACACTACAGTATCACCACCCTACACTACAGTATCACCATCCCTACCCTCCAGTTAAACTCTTCTGTAGTACTATCACCCATTCCCTATAAATCCACACTCTGTTCTCTTTTACTTTCAATTTACAGACATATAAAATTACAGGTCTGATTACATCAGAGCTTCAGACTCTGACCCTAGGGAGGCAGCAAGCTAAACTTCATCTCTAGTCAGGATTAAAGAGTATTAGCATCAGTATTCCATTGTAAAACTTGGAAATTGTGAAGTTTAATAGGCAAAAATAACAGCATCAGGCAGTTTAAAAGCTTTTACAAATGGCGTTTATTGACAAGTGTATTGTGGTGAAAGAAATTCTCTGAGGAGAAGCTAACATTTCAGATCCGCTGACGGCATTCTCAGTAACAATACACTTGCACTGTCTGTGTGTTTACTCTTTAGTTAGTAATGAGAAATCTCAAATTAGTTGAGAATAAAAAGTCATCTACTGGTACAGTGCCATAGGGACCCGAGACAGTGCCCAAACATATTACTTCTATTCAAAAGGGACTTGAGAATGGACACAGCATTGTTTGAATGGTTTTTCTTTGTGTTTACTACCACACAAAAATGTAAATAAATTTCAAGCAATAAAATAATTGTATGGATTTGCAAGTCAAATTTTCATGGTTTAGAAATCAATATATTGATTGAAGTTTAAAGGGATATCCTACACTATGCAAACTTTCAACCAATTCATCAAAGCTAACATCAACATTAATGTCAATATTATGTTCTTGGTTCTGAAAATTATATCAACAATCTAAATACACCACAAGACAATAGAACAATCCCAGACTTGCAGCCAAATCATTCTACAATAAATCACTTTGATTTTCAACAGTAGAAAAAAGCATGTAATAAATTCTGAAGTAACTATTTCTACAAAGTTGTTAATGATAGATCTACACAAAGGTTTATAAAATTCTACTTAGTTCTTGAAAATAGGTTTTCTTTCATGTACCCTGCGTACATTGAATTATGGTAGATATCAAAGATAAGCATGCTTTGTAATATTTAACATATTATGTTTCAAACAAAGCAAGTCCACTCTTTCCTCTAGGTCATTACTCAGTGTGGCTGCTACAAATGATTTGATTACACTCAGGGGCAACTTTTTGAGTTCAAGTTAACCAAAAATATCCAAGTCATCAAGTCCATATAATATCTACTATGTAGTTTTTATCCTGATATTGTATACAGTATACAGTATTACAGTTAAGATACTCTTGATTTTAAACAAAAAACAAAAATTTTATGTTTTGTTACCTCATTTGGTTCCTTTCATCCATCATGTTTCAAATATGGCAGAGAATGAATGTTCTGCAGATCAGCAGATCTTCAGTTAAAACCATACCTAATCTGTACTTGGGTGTATGACCACACATGGTGTGTAGTTGGGTGTATGACCACACATGGTGTGTAGTTGGGTGTATACCCACACATGGTATGTAGTTGGGTGTATGACCACAAATGGTGTGTAGTTGGGATGACCATACAAGGTGTGTAGTTGGGTGTATGACCATACATGGCGTGTAGTTGGGTGTATGACCACACATGGCGTGTAGTTGGGTGTATGACCACACATGGCGTGTAGTTGGGTGTATGACCATACATGGCGTGTAGTTGGGTGTATGACCAGACATGGCGTGTAGTTGGGTGTATGACCACACATGGCGTGTAGTTGGGTGTATGACCACACATGGCGTGTAGTTGGGTGTATGACCACACATGGCGTGTAGTTGGGTGTATGACCACACATGGCGTGTAGTTGGGTGTATGACCAGACGTGGCGTGTAGTTGGGTGTATGACCACACATGGCGTGTAGTTGGGTGTATGACCAGACGTGGCGTGTAGTTGGGTGTATGACCACACATGGCGTGTAGTTGGGTGTATGACCACACATGGCGTGTAGTTGGGTGTATGACCACACATGGCGTGTAGTTGGGTGTATGACCAGACGTGGTGTGTAGTTGGGTGTATGACCAGACATGGTGTGTAGTTGGGTGTGACCACACATGGTGTGTTGTTCGGAATGGTTTGTATTCCACAGTTGAGAAACGTTACAATTTATCTGACCTGCTTTTTAGATGTCAATGTGAAATCTTTAAAAGCAGTCTATCATAATAGGATCTTGGTTTTTACATGACCAGTTAATTATACCTACTGAAGGAAAGCGATGATGCCGGTGATTCCACGCAGAAACATGATCATACATTCACAAATTTGAATACCAGAGCCGATATTTCCATTCAGAACCATTTATCTGGACTAATACAACATAATGGCTGGCATTGTCATTGCAGTTTTCACTGATCCCCTGTCAGTTTCACAAAACATTCCAAAGATGTAATTTTATTTCCTGCCATGGAGTCCTCTCGTCCAGCAGATCTGGGTCTCGGGGCGGAATATTGTTCAGATGACCTTTGTGACCTTAAATGAACATTATGTTATCTCCATGGTTAAGTGGGCATTATGTCTTATAGGAAGAGCTACTAATTTGCATGGCCTGTTTCAAGAATGTTGATCCCTCTATGTATGGACAATTCAAGAGAGATTAAATCCTATCCAAAAAATGTTCCTGTGTATTAAACATTATAATGGACAAAGACCAGCAAAGAAGAGCTTCTCTAAAACAGAAAATATCAAAACTGATATTGAAAATCACATCATCAGGTCTTGTATTTCCACTTAAAACTCACCAGGACCAAATCAAGTATGCTTTCAATACACTTATTCCCTAGGTCACCTAGACTTATATACCTCCCTAAAGAGGTCACCCAGACTTGAAACCTTCATACAGAGACTACCTAGACTTCTATACCTCCCTAAAGAGGTCACCCAGACTTGAAACCTTCATACAGAGACTACCTAGACTTATATATCTACCTATATAGGTGACCTAGATTTATATATACATACCTATACATAATCCTTTCCTACAGAGATTACCTAGTCATCTATACCTCCTTGTAGAGGTCACTTAGACTTAATACCTTCCTACAGAGGTCATCTAACTTAATAAAGCTCTCTAAACAAGACATTGAATCTGCAGTCTCACTACTCAAGTTTGACAATAAATTGACATTTGAAACACATCAGATATGAATGATGTCTTCTATGTCAAAGTCTTAGTTCAGACACAGAATATTTCCATACAGAAGAAAAAATTACTTGCATTTCAAAGACGTCCAAACCTCAATTGTGACGAAGAGTCTGATTCAGTGATGATGTTATTTGATAGATGAAATTGAATTAAATTTATCCCGAGTATTCTCTGTCTAGTCACCATGATGAGTTTGGTGTAGAGTTGTTCTCAAACAACCCTCTTGTGTGAACAGGTGGTGAAAACAACTCTATATTAAGCTTGAAAAGAGACTTGCTCCAAACCTGACACTTCCTTTCAAACAAAGTTATTCAATGTAAAAAATAGTTGACAACATCTCTGAATGGAATTGATAAGGTTCCAGCAGGTAAAACATTTTTGAAACCAAACAATCTTGAATGTATGAGAACCTCAGCTAAAAGACTAGAAAAAAACATTTCATGAAACAAAATAAATTACCTTATTCATATTAAAACTGCGGGCTGGCATGAACTTATGACAGGTAACCCTAACATCAGATATTTGAGAAAAAATGGTCCTTCACTTACTGTATGGAAACCTACTACACTTTGTAATTTGTGTGTCACTTCCTAACTGGAACTAAAACTTTATGGAGACCAACTTTTCTATAATAATGACCTTGATCACAGACTGACCTTTCAACCTGAAAACATTCATTACCAGATAAGCTGAAGTTTGAGTTTAAATGTTAATAGAAATGCTGTGGAAACTAATTTATTACTGACTGTAACAGTGCCGTTATCTTCAGGGCTGAAAAAAAAAAAAAAAATGCAAGCATTTTCAATTTGAGTTACTTTTCAGAAAGTAGAAAGGACACATTGGTGAGCATCTTCATACAACAAGACAACAAATGTTCTATTATTTAAACTAGCCACAGTACGTCAATTTATGGACTTTTCAAATAAGATCAACTCTGTCTGATAAAATGCCTTAAAGGCTGCTAATTAAAGATATTTGAAAGGCTACAATGACTGAGATCTGAGATAATCTAGTCCTTGTTCCTGGTACTTCCTGTGTGATGGTGATATGTGTCTGTGGTACCAACTTCCTGTGTGATAGTGATGTGTGTCTGTGTGGTACCAACTTCCTGTGTGATAGTGATGTGTGTCTGTGTGGTACCAACTTTCTGTCTGATGGTGATGTACCAACATCCTGTCTGATGGTGACATGTGTCTGTGTGGTACCAACTTCCTGTGTGATGGTGATAAGTGTCTGTGTGGAACCAATTTCCTGTCTGATTATGACATGCATGTGTGTGGTACCAACTTTTTGTCTGGTGGTGATATGTGTCTGTGTGGTACCAACTTCCTGTGTGATGGTGATATGTGTCTGTGTGGTACCAACCTCCTGTCTGATGGTGATAAATGTCTGTGTGGAACCAACTTCCTGTCTGATGGTGACATGCATGTGTGTGGTACCAACTTTCTGTCTGATGGTGATATGTGTCTGTGTGGTACCAACATCCTTTCTCATGGTGATATGTGTCTGCATGGTTCCAACATCCTGTCTGATGGTGATATAGGTCTGTGTGGTACCAACATCCTGTCTGATGGTGATATGTGTCTGTGTGGTACCAACATCCTGTCTGATGGTAATATGTGTCTGTGTGGTACCAACTTCCTTTGTGATGGTGATATATGTCTGTGTGGTACCAAATTCCTGTGTGATGGTGATATGTGTCTATGTGGTACCAACTTCCTGTGTGATGGTGATATGTGTCTGTGTGGTACCAACTTCCTTTGTGATGGTGATAAGTGTCTGTGTGGTACCAACTTCCTGTGTGATGGTGATATGTGTCTGTGTGGTACCAACTTCCTGTCTGATGGTGATAAGTGTCTGTGTGGAACCAATTTCCTGTCTGATGGTGACATGCATGTTTATGGTACCAACTTTCTGTCTGATGGTGATATGTGTCTGTGTGGAACCAATTTCCTGTCTGATGGTGACATGCATGTGTGTGGTACCAATTTTCTGTCTGATGGTGATAAGTGTCTGTGTGGAACCAACTTCCTGTCTGATGGTGACATGCATGTGTGTGGTACCAACTTTCAGTCTGGTGGTGATAAGTGTCTGTGTGGAACCAATTTCCTGTCTGATGGTGACATGCATGTTTGTGGTACCAACATCCTTTCTCATGGTGATATGTGTCTGTGTGGTACCAACATCCTGTCTGATGGTGATATGTGTCTGTGTGGTACCAACATCCTGTGTGATGGTGATATGTGTCTGTTTGGTACCAACTTCCTGTGTGATGGTGATATGTGTCTGTGTGGTACCAACTTTCTTTGTGATGGTGATATGTGTCTGTGTGGTACCAACTTCCTGTGTGATGGTGATATGTGTCTGTGTGGTACCAATCTTGTGTTGGTTTGTCTTTGTGAGGTATCAACTTCCTGTCTGGTGTTAACATATCTGTTGGCTAATCAAAATAGATGACCTGGACACACACTGGACAGATAAACAGACACACTTGAAGCTTCAATCCTAGTTTTAATGGCAGGCATCCAATAACTTGTTGTCGATCAATATGGAGTACAAATTAAAAATCCAGATAATCAGTTCCTGCCAAAAGCCAATATGTTCTAGTTTTGATATGTTCTAGTTTTGATATGTTCCAGTTTTGATATGTTCTAGTTTTGATATGTTCCAGTTTTGATATGTTCCAGTTTTGATATGTTCCAGTTTTGATATGTTCCAGTTTTGATATGTTCCAGTTTTGATATGTTCCAGTTTTGATATGTTCTAGTTTTGATATGTTCTAGTTTTGATATGTTCCAGTTTTGATATGTTCCAGTTTTGATATGTTCCAGTTTTGATATGTTCTAGTTTTGATATGTTCTAGTTTTGATATGTTCTAGTTTTGATATGTTCCAGTTTTGATATGTTCTAGTTTTGATATGTTCTAGTTTTGATATGTTCTAGTTTTGATATGTTCTAGTTTTGATATGCTCCAGTTTTGATATGTTCCAGTTTTGATATGTTCCAGTTTTGATATGTTCCAGTTTTGATATGTTCTAGTTTTGATATGTTCTAGTTTTGATATGTTCTAGTTTTGATATGCTCCAGTTTTGATATGCTCCAGTTATGATATGTTCCAGTTTTGATATTTTCTAGTTTTGATATGTTCTAGTTTTGATATGTTCTAGTTTTGATATGTTCTAGTTTTGATGAAAGGTCACTGTAGATCATAAGTGACATACATTTTCAAATAATCAAAACAAATCTGAAAGCGATCTAAAGAAACAGTTGAAAAGATTAAGAAATCAATGGTAGTAGGTGAGGATCGGTGGTTAGCGGTCACATTAAAGTACAGACATTTTTTCCTTCTGTGATGTAGACAAAGGACTGCCAACGATTAGATTTGGTCTATATTTTATTACAATTGGTCTCCTTTCCATTAAATTTGGTGCTGTGTAACAACATTGGGGTGTTGGTGGAAGGCAGTCCTATCGTATGGAATCTCCCCACTGTCCGTGTGGAGGATGACACACTCATTAACAGGTCCGGTATGAAATATGAGAGTCATGCCCTGCCTTCTAATTCAATCTGGCTGTACTCTACCTCCTCAACGATCTTAATGTGCAGTGTGAAATGTCTTCTTAATAAGTGAAATTGAACATTTTGACAGGATCAGTTCAAGAAATGGCTACATAATACCTGTTAATGCTTTTTTTTTCCTGTCAAGGGTGTCTGCTAGAGTGTGTACTATGTATTATTTCCACAGGGAAATCACATTTTACTCAACATCAAGTGCAACCCAACCTCAACCTTTTGAAAATGTGTTTTAAAAAGATGGATTATAAATCATAATTATTTTCATAAGTTGTTGTAATTTCCTTTGTTTTTGAAAACATTTTTTTCACTCATTTATTTTTCAAACTTGGAGTTTATTGTGGAAGGTTCCGTTGGCTTCCTGTTTTATGGCTGTAAACACATATACCATAATGTTCTGTGGGTTTGTAAATGGTTTTTGGTTTCCCTTACATCCTGGCCTTTAGACAGAATTGATCTGTCTCAAACAAAAAAGTGTAGAAAAAATACATAAATCGTAAAGTTCAATTTTGAGTAGCCTATGAATCAATGCTACAGTGTTGTAACAGCTAACTTCGTTGTTTCTATGATAGGAGATCTGAATTCAAATTGGTGTTATGATATGGTTTGCATTACAATAGAACTGCCACTATACCGGTAATTTCCTCTGTTAAAACTACCCCTGGCAAATTTCAATTGCGATCTCCACTTTAAATAAATTTTCTTGAAAGCTTCAAACACCAGCTGTAATTTAGCAATACACAGTAATAACGGCCTTTATGCGTTTTATGGCTGAAATCTTAACATCCTTTACAACACTGCAATTTCAAATTTTATATGAAAAGAAATCAAAGCAGATTGGTAGTGATTTGTATTCATTTGACGTTTATCATTGTGGCTTATTTCACTTTTATACACAGTGTTTCGGTGGCGATGGACTTGGCAGTCATACCAATGCATAGCTAACAGTCCAAAATCCATAAACTCAGATAAACATCAAATATCCAATTTTCTCAGAAATTAAAGATCCTGCAATTTTAGCAATTTAGACGCAAGTTTATGAGAAAGTTGCTGAGAAGAGAATGGTCACAATTTATCTGTAGAAATCAATGCCTGGGAATATGGAACAGATGAAGTTGGAAGGAGAACCCAGACAGTCCGCTAGATCGCCAGCCCACATTGACTCCCTTCCTGTCAAATCTTCAGAAATTGAAATTCACTATCTAGAATATCAAATTGAAATGACACTGGTTTGAGTGAATGCACTGTTAGAGACCCATAGCTGTTACTGTAGGGGCCCAGCCCTGTCAATAGATGTACAGCTATCATTGTAATTGGTCGCTTTCTCATCTGTGATGCAAGTGATACTGATACCGTTTCAATTCTTATCAAATACATGTCTCCTATTTGGCCAAGAAAATATTTCTTTAATTTACAAACTGAGCAAGTTGATTTACCTCGAAGTCAGAATCAATTAAAATCCTTTCCATATCTCTGCTGTCACTTCCTCCCTATAAGGAATATCATTACAACTACACTTTTTCATGCGCAATTGAAAAAGTAAATTGATCTAAGAAAACTCAGGGGAAAGATAAAGAATTTTAAATAAATAAATTCTAAACAAAATAAGAATCTTCGTGGACTGACACAGATCAAATACTGAGGAGACCAAGATTAGCATGATATGTATGACAAACAGAGGAGGTAAAACCATACCAGACTGGTGTTTCTGCTTAACTGATTGTAATAGTAGTCTTACAGAGAATTATCTGTACTCTTCTGTTTGAAAACAGAAATGTCAGGTAGCCGACATCATGTCTATAATGAATTTAGCAGAACAGACATCTGAAATATGCCATTTTAGTACAACATTTAGCAGATTTGATTTTTAACCAATCCCATATATTGGCTATAGGAGATAAACATTATATCAGCTCTTTACTTCTAGATAAAACATTTGATTAAATATTTGTTGACAGAGTCTGCTGAAGTCTGCAGCCGTAGGCACCAGATGTAGATGTCGATGACCCAGACTTATAAACTGCATGACAGCCTTCGTGATTTCACGCCTCATTGGCTCAGTAAGCATGTAATATTTACAACCTATGCATTTTTAACCAAACAACAATTCAACTTTAATATCTGCCATTGAATATTATTCTAATATTTCATTTCTTTTCAAGAAAAAATGTTTTGGTAAGTATTTGATACTTTTGAAAAACCAAATTAAAATTGCTTCTGATGAAATATTGTTATTTTCAGTTTAAATACAAAAAAGGTTGATAAGCAAGTGCATTTTTAGTCAAGAAAATTGAAAGAAAATTAATGAGCAAAAAGTTATCTTCAAAATAGATTAGACATGTTTGTGAGACTCTTGTAATCAAGTATAGTGGAACTACACAGAGTCCACTTACTATTTCTGCATATTGTATAACCCTCAAATCTTGTATGATAAGACAAAGACAGGGCTCCTCCTGAAGGGCTGATGGAACTTCATTACACCCGCATCACTTACACATTGACATGATTTGAAGTAGAGAAATAATTCCGGACACAATGAAGTGCAGTTCCAACATCTAAGCCCCATGTTATTGACTACAATGCAGGAACAGGACTTTAGAAATCAAAACCAATTTGGCCGAGTTAATTTGAATGTTTCCAAATGTATCATTTCCTAATCATGGTGAGGATCGACTTAGGCAAGTAGACAGTAGAGCCATGTCATGGTGACATAACTGCATGATGTGTCTGACTCTGACAGCTTCAGACGTACACTCAGGGGACATAACTCTAGCCAAAGTTTTACTAGCAAAAAGAAAAGACCTGTTTTCAAAAATAGAAAATGAATATTTCACCACCTGTATTTAAAGGCTTGGTTGTACATGTACAATACTTGTAGTTCCAGGGAAAAAGGGCTCTAGACATCCTCCATATTAAGATTTATTTTTGAAATATCTATTAGGCTGGATGTCAGGATGTGATTGGTGGAGTCTGTTCCTGTTTGTATTTGATTGGTGTGGTGTGGTCTTGTTTGTATGTGAAGGGTGGGGTGTGGTCCTGTTCGTATGTGAAGGGTGGGGTGTGGTCCTGTTCGTATGTGAAGGGTGGGGTGTGGTCCTGTTTGTATGTGAGGGGTGTGGTGTGGTACTGTTTGTATGTGAGGGGTGTGGTGTGGTCCTGTTTGTATGTGAAGGGTGGGGTGTGGTCCTGTTTGTATGTGAGGGGCGTGGTGTGGTCCTGTTTGTATGTGAAGGATGGGGTGTGGTCCTGTTCGTATGTGAGGGTCGTGGTGTGGTACTGTTTGTATGTGAGGGGTGTGGTGTGGTACTGTTTGAATGTGAGGGGTGTGGTGTGGTCCTGTTTGTATGTGAAGGGTGTGGTGTGGTCCTGTTTGTATATGAGGGGTGTGGTGTGGTCCTGTTTGTATGTGAAGGGTGTGGTGTGGTCCTGTTTGTATGTGAAGGGTGTGGTGTGGTCCTGTTTGTATGTAAAGGGTGTGGTGTGGTCCTGTTTGTATGTGAGGGGTGTGGTGTGGTACTGTTTGTATGTAGAGGATGTAGTGTGGTACTGTTTGTATGTATAGGGTGTGGTGTGGTACTGTTTGTATGTGAAGGGTGTGGTGTGGTCCTGTTTGTATGTGAAGAGTATATGGTGTGGTCCTGTTTGTATATGAAGGGTGTGGTGTGGTCATGTGTGCATATGAAGGGTGTGAGGTGGTCCTGTGTGTTTATGAGGGGTGTGAGGTGGTCCTATATGTATATGAGGGGTGTGGTGTGGTCCTGTTTGTATGCGAAAAGTGTGTGGAATGGTCCTGTTTGTATGTAAAGAGTGCGTGGAATGGTCCTGTTTGTATGCGAAGAGTTTGTGGTGCGGTCCTGTGTGTATATGAGGGGTGTGGTGTCCTG